CACAAGCTGATGATGGAGATTCAGGCACATAGTGAGACCATCCAAACAGCTGGATGATGTAATGCCAGTGGAAGGAAAAGTGTGTGGAAGCAGAGCCAGCAGTGTCCTGTCCAGGTTGGATGTGCTGCCTGGGAGGGGCTCCAAAAGGCCAGGACCGCTGTGGAGCGATGCATTTGGTTGCTTGCTGGTGTCTTCAGATAAGGTGTCCATGAAAGAGCCATGTAGGAAACCCATCCCACCCTCTAGCTCCTCAGACAAAGCTTCCTCTGCTGCGGTAGGGGTTAGGAGCCTTGTGACTTAAGCAGAAAAATGGTCATCATCTCTGAACCCTCGGTATAATTGAGCTTCCTATGTCTGGGTGAGGAATCATGGATTCAAGGGCATCAAAGACAAAATGGCACGTGAAGGGAATGGAAGGATGTAGTCGCTGACAAGGAAAGATGGGAGTTGGTGGAGGGTTCAGAGGACTGTGGTCCCTTTCAGCTCTTTGATCAAGCGGTCTTTTTAGTTGGGCAATATAATTTAAGTAAGTTTAAAACTGAAGGCAAACAAGCTTTTTTTTTTTAACTGGCTCTTTGTAACAGTCTAGACTTTCTGTATTGTCTGAGGGAGGAAAATTGCTGCCCTTAAACCACTTGGGTGCAAGGGAGACTGAGCCGGGAGCATTTCCTAAAGCTCAGAGGTTCCCAAGTGTCATCACAGTTCATGCCCCGAGGGTGCGTTAATGGGTTCCAGCTTAAAACAGTGAAAACCTCTTAATGGAAAACCTCAAGCAATAAACAAAATAATAAATACACGTGCTTTAAAAGTGGGATAGTTGGGCTTGGAGCTGAGAGCTGGCTTTAGGGGTGAGAAGGTTGGTTGGTGTAGCTGTGCATGGTGGGTTTTACGGTGACACAGCAGACGTATGAATGCAGCGACACTGCGCTTCATGGAAAGAAACCCAGAGGTGTTTCTGAATGTTGCTCTCCCTGGCAGCATTTCAGGGAGCTTCAGAAAAGCAAAGAAGGTATAAGGTTACTGACAGTCTGTAAAACCAAGGACAGAAAATCTGCTTACACAGCCTATAAAAGGACAGACTGTTCCCTCGGAGGCCGATGCTTTTACTGTGTCCAGACTAGATCGATGAGTTGTGAACATCCATACAGGGACCTGGGAAAACTGGTGGAAAACTTTGCTATCAAGGAGTATCAAATAAAGAATGAGGTGAAACTTTTGCTTCCTTATTGCCCATTTTCCTTGCATTAATTTGGATTTGTAGCGGGCACCGTACACCAGGAGAACTATGTGGACTGTGCTTCCTGTAGTAATTTGGTTTCAGATGATGAGTCCTTTGGCTGCTGCCCTCATTGCAGGATGTTTCTGAATATGTTTATTAAACATGCCATTTACTGAAGGTTAAATCACAATGGTGAAGCTTCTTTTGCATGTGGAAAAAGATAATTCGTAAGTCTTGTGTCCATCTGCCAAGATTTTTTTTGCAGATCCATGTTGTCTGTGTGGTTTTTGGTTTTTCAGCATGTGGTTTTTGGTTATCCAAACTGCACCAGGAAACACTGATATTTCCTTCAAAACTTGTGGCAAAAAGGCACAGATGTGGCTTTTCCATAAGGGAAGGATACTGGTAAATCCAAAAGTCAGTCATGTAGGAGGTAAAGCATGAAGAGCAAGTTCCCTGTGCTGAAGGAGGTTCTTCTCATTCCTTTGCCTGGAAGAAGTGGAGAACAGAAAGACAAAGCTCTTGGGGCTCTCCCTGCATGACATTAATTCACTTATGACTTCCATGGTTGCCTTTCTCTCTATATAAACTCTACAGTGATTTTTCTCTAGCCTTAATTTGTAGCAAAACCTTCTTGGGGAGCACAAGGGAAGTTGTCCTCAAGCTGACAGTCACTTTTAGTGACTTCTCAAAAAGAGTTGATTCAAGAGTTGGTCATCTGATCAAAGATCACATAATTTGCTCTGTTTTACAGGGCTTTACAATCGTAAAAATCTGTTATACCAAAATTAGCTTTTAATTGAATTCCCAAGTACTCTGTGTGACTTCACTGCTGCGAGTAAATGGGATTTACGTAGGAAGTAAGTATCACTGCAGACGCACTCTACTTGAGCCTGTAGAAATGGTCTGTTAGTCTGTGAAATACACCATGTATTGGAATTTATACTCCAATTAATTTCAAAATTACAGAATAAGACTTGGAGGAAGTTGGCAAATCACTTCTTGTACAGCATGTGTTGCCATAGGTATAGATAGAAATACTACTGCGAGGCTAAATTAAGTATTCATTTAGAAAACCAGGGTTAGCTGGGAAGTCTCTGTTCGCACTCACATCCCGGTAGCATGGCAGTTCTTGTTGTCCTGCTTGCATCTTTGGTTATCTCAAGTGGGATGGCTTGAAAATTGAATAGTTTCAGGTGAGATCAAGTGAGATGCAGTTCAGAAATGATGTGTAGAAGTTACGGTTTGAAGTGGCAAGTAAATAGTCTGTTTCTGTGTCAAGTGTCTATCAGCATTTCATGGTTGTTTGGGGTTTTCCTATCTGTGGCTGCTGAGGCACACAGCTAACTAGAAGGTAAGGCAGGTACATAAGTCAGTGTCTGAAAGCCTCTAAGGTGGACACAGGTGAACATTGTGATTTTGAACTTGTTTCTCAACACGTAATTTTTCAAGATACAGATGCAATTGTAACACCAGGTTCTAAGTTTCTCCCACAAACAAAACCATAGTTGAATAGTAAGAGAACGTTATTCACCAGTATTAAGCCAATTTTAGGCCACTTTCAGCAACTTCACTACCACATCCAGCACATCCTTCTTGCATCCACTGTCATGTTGTTACAGAAACATCCTACCCATGTATTGCTGCTTAGTGAGCTCTGAAAGAAAGAACAATCAGTTTAGGTAATAAAAACGACATACAAAAGACAGAAGCTGTGATTTATTTTGGGAGGTGGAGTAGAGTGGCAAGCAGCACTTTAAAGGTCACTTGTCTCAAATAAACCTTATCTCTCTCTCAAATTTCAAGAGAGATTGTGGTGTTTCCTTGCATCTAACCTGCGTTAAATGTCTTTTACAAGAATATATTGCAGACTCCAGTGGGAGCGTTGTACATGCCCGTGTGCTGTGTAGGTGATAGAAATGAAGGGGAGTGCCGGCAGGGAGAATGAAGATCAATTATAAGTGATTAATGAGTTGATTAGAAATACTTCTTTGGGAACAGAAGAATCTTTGAGCCAGAACGGGCTTTGGTAGTGCCAGTTTTTGGTAGAGAGAGGCACCTGCCCTTGTTCTCCTGGGAAACCCCACAGGATCGGTTCTGTTACTGGTCCTGCTCATTCTTTTCTTGGAGCTGTTCTGAAGGCTTGAGGATCTGGATAGCAGGGAGCCTGAAGTTAATTTCCTTGTGTCTGTATTATCACAGTCAGCATGGGACTGGCTCAGGGATGGAAAGAAATCCGATTGAAGCTGAACTTGGAGCCGGTTGTCGGAGTAGGGAGATGGTGAAGATGGGGACAGGCTGTGGAGATTGCAGCAAATCCGTGCTCTTGTTAAGCCGGGGGTGATGAATCCACATGAGTTGATTTGTTCCATAGTTCACTAAAGCTCTGGGATTTTTCAGTTGCAGTGACCTCCAGTGCATCAGGGGCTGCCAGCAGCCCTGCCTAGCAACTGGCTAGCAGCTACTGGGCTGTGCTGGATGTCATCCTCTTGGCAGATGATGCACTGACCTTGCTTGTACGTGCCTCTATCTTGCCACGTGGCCGATAGTGTTGCAGTGTGTTTGCAGAGGAGCTGGCTGACGCGTGAACCCCTGGGAGCAGAGGAGCAGTGTCACCCTGCAGCACGGGGCCACCAGACACCGCAGCAGGATGGCCTGGAGGAACCAGCTCCATCAGCACAGAGGCGTCACCAGTAATACGCCAGTGCCTTAAGGAAATCCAAATCTCTGCAGGCTTTGAGGGAGATAACATAACACTTGCTGCCTCGTGTCCATTAAATACAGGTAGTGCTCTTCCATACTTGGCACAGAGATGCATGGACATATCCAGATGGATATAAAAGTAGCCAGCTCGTGCTCTGGAGAGGAATTAAATCTGTTCTCCTTCTTCACTTTTACAGATCTGTTGGACAGGTCACCTCTTGGTTTACGTCACCTCTTGGTGTACGTCACCTCGTACTTCATGTGCTGACAGATAGTGAATGTATCTTTTGGCCACTGGATTGAATTTTGTCAGCTGAGTGTTTTGACCTTTCTGCTGTTCTCAAATCCCGAAAATAGATTTTTCAGCCTGTAAAACTTTTTTGGGTGGCTAAACATAGGCTTCAAAGTGCTGCATTTCCTTTGTGCTTGGATCGAGTTCACTGTTCTGTACCCACTGCTTGGATGTGTCCTTTTTAATGGGAGTTTGTGAGAGTTTAGCAATCTCTTGCTTTTCAGAGTTTCTTTGTCCAACTACATGTGACCACAGATAGTAATTTACAGGGTGGATATCTTACACTTTTGTTTCGTAAGTAAAATATACACAAAGCTAGAATAAAGTAAATATTAGGATAGTGAAAACGTTCTGTGTCTTTTGTTTAGGACAAGGGGGAATGGCTTGAACCTGCCAGAGGGGAGATTGAGATGAGCTCTGAGGCAGAAGCTCTTCCCTGTGAGGGTGCTGAGGTGCTGGCACAGGGTGCCCAGAGAAGCTGGGGCTGCCCCATCCCTGGCAGTGTTCAAGGGCAGGTTGGACACAGGGGCTTGGAGCAACCTGCTCTAGTGGAAGGTGTCCCTGCCCGGGGCAGGGGTTGGAGCTGGAGGAGCTTTGAGGTCCCTTCCGATACAAACCACTGTATGATTAGGCAAGCTTTATCTAAATAATCTTTTTCTCTAAAGGTATGACAAGTTACAGATGGATGTTCAAATGTCTCACAAAAGATTTATGAATAATGTTGTTTTCAAATCAAACTTACACATCTTGTTTTCCTTTCTTTCCCCAAACCCATGTTATTTACAGCTTCCAGCTGATCTTACCAAGATGCATCTTACTGACAATCCTCATCCTCAGGTGACGCATGTCCCTTCAAGCCAGTCGGGATGTAGCATTGCCAGTGACTCTGGGAGCAGCAGCCTATCTGATATTTATCAGGTAAAACTGCATGTTTCTTATTTTTCCTCCCTTGATGTTAAACATTCCATAAACAAAACCAGTGGCCCTTTATCCAAGCTTTGACCTCTTGGTGCTTCTGTATGTCCCTGTGTTGCTTGTGTGACTTGCAACCTCCACAGCCACACAGAATTGAACTAAACTCCTTGTAAAGCTGCTGTTACTGCTTATTTTTATCTTTATATACCCCAAGCGTGCTGCGGCTTTTAAAAGTCCCATTTCATGATCAACAGGATCATTTTCCTTCTTTCTGAAGTGGAACAAATTTCACTAACACATTCTTGTGTTTCAGATACCTTCCTTGATGATTTGTGTTACTGTTAATAACAGATGTTCTGTTCTGGAAACAAAAGTGTGGTAATAACACACTCTCTGCCCTGGTTGACTGTGGAAATTCTAGTGTTGCCACTCTTGCGAGAGAGTGCTCCACATGATGCTCAAGCAACTGTTGAGCATGATGTGGATGTAACTTGACTTTAGACCCCCGTTGCCTTTCCTTGGTGCTATCCAGGTACTGTTGCTACACATGAAACGGATTAGTGATGTATCTATTTACAACAAAATATTGCTAGGTAACTTTAAGGCATTAAAAGCCAAAATCCTTTTAGAACACTAAGTGTCTCTATGCATTTTTGTCCTATTTAATCCATTACTTTACAGCTTCTTTAGATTTCCTTACAGCCAGCTAGGTCAGGAGCGGCTGGAGTCCCTGCATGAGTCTTCAAAATGCTCTGTGGGTTCTCTGATGGTGCTGGAAGATGTTGTTGTGTCTCACGATTTATTTATTTATTAATTTTCAGAGTCAACAAAATTGATTTAATTAACTGGAATCACTAGAACTAGTCTGTGTATTGTACCTTAACATCTCATATATCAGGATGCTGATGGACAGTCTTCCTGGCCATCGTCTGCCTGCCTGTCTACCTGAGGAGTTTGGAGAGGTTGCTCTAAGTGAAAAGCACTTAAAATGTATTATTGATAACAAAACTATCATTCTAGGAATGAGTGAATACTCTGTCATGTCTCGTTCATCGCATTTGAAATGCTTTATGGCTGCTCTTCAGAAAATGCCAAAAGAACGTAACTGCCAAACAAATGAGATTTATATAAATAAAAGAAATAATAAAGCAGCGTATTTACATGCACTGTAGCAAATAAACAGTGGTGAAATGTATTTTTGTGCCCTAGGGAATGATTAATAATGTGAAAATGATGGCAGGTTTTCTATTAACAAACCAACCTTCTGTTGGTTTTTAATCCCTTTTTATTTTTTAGTGAAGTTTTCCTATCTTGTTCTTGCATGCAGAATGTGCAAACTGTAACCTGTTTTTATGAAGTATTTTATGGACTTTACTGCAGTAGCTATAACAGTTTTGGTGAAGTCTCTTACTGTTTGTCACACAGTTACAAGTTCATGGGTAGATACTGTGCAATAAAGTCATGGCACAGTCTTTAACACAACATTATATTGCAGCGACACGTCGATATAGACAGATTTGGAAATCAGAAAGAGAAGTGTTTTCCCCAATAGTCATCATGATATTATGAAAGCAGAGAATCTCTTTGATACGCAGTAAACCTACATTTTGATTAAATGTATTGGCTCAGTAGCTGACAGCGTTTTTCGTGCGTTAAAATAGAGCTTTTCATAGAAGTATTTGGAAAATGATGGTTTGCTTTTGCTTTTACAGTCAGCTTCATATCTGTAACATGCCAAACTCTCTAGGAGTATCATTAATGTCAGCAGAGAGAAAAGCATCTTTGAGTAATTGTGATTAATGTAGCCTTGAAATGACCTTTCGAATTAATGGTATCTTAACATTAATTTTTACAGTAAGCAGTGCAAACGTAATTCCAGAATGGGAAAACACAATTAGAGTGGTAGAAGCAAAGAGCAAAGCAATTTTTTTATTAACGTTTGGAAGGGGTTTCCATTCCTCTGTGTACACTGTATTCATTGACAGTGTTGAAATGAGGTTTCACTTGTTCCAGCTGCCTCTCAGTCCAGGATGTTAAACAGGAAGCGATGAACATAAAGCTTGAGGTGAGATCAGCAGAAAGGAGTCCTGCCCGTGAGCACATTGTGTGAAACCCTCAGTTAGCTGCAGAAACACAGGAATATATATTTATAAAGATATTTTTCTCCCTTCTCCTGTACCATTCCT